CCGCCATGTCGGCGGGGACGCCTGCCGGGACAGGGGACGGTGGCGGCGCTGCGGGCGCAGGGCTGCAGCGCAGGTGCTGCCCCTGGGTCCGAGGTGCGGGCAACAGCTCCTGTGTCCCCAGCTCATCACACGTAGGCTCCTCGCTTCGCGCACGCCCCCAGGGCAAGCACTGCAGGCTGGGGCAGATGTCACCTCCCTTCTCGCTCCACAGTGTCCACATGGGGCCCTAGTGACGCCTCCTGCCACCCACCCCCCAGGCAGAGCCATGGACCAGGCCCATCAGGGCTCAGCCCCAAACCCAGCTGGGATGCAGCATCTCACAGCCACCCCGAAGGAACTGGAGCTCCCCAAAGGAGATGGGTGCCAGGAGGTGGCACAGCCTGTCCCGGAGACGCTCCGCAGTCTGCAGTGCTGCTTCTCACCATTGATGTGGATTGACTTCAGCTCCCCGTCCTCCTCCACTTCCACCCGCTCCTGCCCATTCTCGATAATCCTGCAGGCAAACAGTTAGTGAACAGCCGGAGCATCACAGCGGAGCTGCAGTCCAGCGAGCCACGTAACCTCATCTGCTGATTAAGGCAAATTACAGCGGATGAAACCACTCCAGGGAGATGCAGCCGATGCTGGGGCAGAGCCAGCCCCATCCTGCATCGTCCCTCCTGCCCACCTGGCCTAGCCAGGAGGAAGGTCCCAGGACTGGCCATCCACCCTGGTGCGCGGGCACGTGGGAGGACAGCGCAGGCCCCGGCGTGAGGACCAGAGGATCAGGTGGCCAGGATGCAGCCTGGTGCTCTGCTCCTCTGCAGTGGCACCCAGTGCTGAGCCCGTCTGTCTGGCCAGGGCGCCGCGCTGCCCCTCACCTCTTTGTGGTGACGCGTTTGCCGTTAACGAAGGTGGTGGAGGTGGAGACGGAGCGGAAGCCCAGGCCTGCGTCAGCTCCAGAGCCAAAGGACGAGGAGAAGAAATCTGGAGAAGAGGCAGCAAGGTCAGTGCCCAGCTCCTGCAGCCCTCCAGGCCCAGGGGAGGGCACAAGGGGCGAGAGGGGACAGGACTATCCAGGTCTGAACAGTACAAGGCGCCTGAGGGAGGCAGTCCAGAGACTGGCAGCTCTGGTAGTGCCGTGCAGCCATCCAGGACTCCCGCACCAGGCAGGGGCTGGCAACCTTTCCTACCTGAGGATCCTGGGAAGGGAGAAAAGAAGTGGCCTGGCCCATGGTGCCGGGGACCAGGTCCTCGCAGGTCAGAAAAGGGCATCATCTCATCTGGAAGGCAGAGGAGACGGTGACAGCACCGCCCCGGTGGCGCCCAGGAGGCGCTGGCGAGGCCAGGGCAGGACGCTGCCGGAGGGGTCGCGCTGCAGGGCTGGCTCCCACACCGCGGCCAGTGCCGGGCCTGGCTAAGGGCACC